TGTAATTGCAAATGTAATTTCAAAATCTTAATAAAGCACTAGCATGACTGCTTAAGGAAAAAAAAAAAAAAAAAAAAATCAGTAGATTTTTGATTCTATCTAATCAAACAAGACAGCTATACTCGCAGGCAACAAAGATATAATATTCAAAAACACAAAAATAAATTTAAATAACAGAATTATTACTACTAATTTCAAATTCAAAGATCTTATATTTTAAATATCCAACATATATGCACTTCTAATCCAAATAATAGAAAACTTTTCTTTAAGAAATAGTTACTGCAAATTAACAAAAATGTCATTAACATAATTGGAAATAACTTTAACACTAATTTATATTCTGAAAAAGATAGAACTAGTGAAGCAGCTCCTTAATGAAACCCAACAAGAACACAACTTTTAAGCCTTACTAAAAATTTTACAGACATCTCAGATTTTGTCAAAACGAGACCTTTTCATATATTTTTTCAAAAAACACAAGACAATCAGACAATAGTTATACATTTAGACTACATTTTATTAATAAAAATAATGCTCACTCTATTTCACAAATTGATACCAGATTTGGCAACTCAGACCACCTTCTGGTAAAATATACCCTTCTTTTTAAAGCCAAAGAAAGAGAGTCAGTTCTTTGAAGATTTAATAAAAGCTGCTTTTTGAACAAAAAACTAAAAAAAGAAATGCTAGAAGAAATTACAAAACTTGAGAAAACTAATAACTAGGACTTCTGTAAAGTCCATATTCAATCTATTATAAGAGTATTTAGAAAGCCAAAAGTTACTGAAAACAAGATTACAAAGCTAAATAGAAATATAACTTAGCTAAAAGAATGACTAGCTTACAACTCAGAAAATTCTTTTCTGTACAATCAAATAGATAGACTAAGCCTAAACCTTTAAAATGAACTATTACATTTTACAGAAAAATGGCAAATATGCTTAAAAGCTCAATAGATTGAGTAGAGAGAAAAATCAAAAAAATACTTTTTCACTAGTTATAAAATCAGAAAAGTGCACTTATCTTTAAAGAACATCAAGAATTCTGAGGCCTTATCACAATTATGTGAAAATACTCTTCAATATATTAGAGATACATATACCAAAATTTACAAAAAAGAAGATATAAATATTAATTTAGCTAAAAAGATTACAGAAAATCTTCCTCAAGCCTTATTAGCTCATAACTCAACACTCATCCAAGAAATTACTCAAAAGAAGATTAGCAATGTTATTAAAAACCTTCCAATCAACAAAACCTCAGGCACTGATGATCTAATATATAAGTTTTACAAACTCACCAAAGAGACTATAACTCCTATCTTATACAAAGTATTTAATCAAGCACTAAACTCAAAAATTATACCAACCTCTTGGTGCAAGAGCCTAATCTCTCTAATATCTAAAAAATTAATAGATATGAAAAATGTAAATAACTGAAGACCTATATTTTTAGTGAACAGTAATACAAAAATTTTCATAAAGATTATAGCTAATTGACTAAATTCTATCTGTGAAAAACTTATATCACATTAGCAGTATGAATTTATTCAAAATAGGTCTATTACAAATGCAGTACTAGATATCATTATGATTATGAGAAACCAGTCAAATTCATCTAACCAACACTGGCTGCTTTTTGTTAATCAGCAAAAAGCCTTTAATTAAGTCAACTATGACTTTTTAAAACTTATTTTAAAAAATATAAACTTTGATTCTAAATTTATTAATCTAATTTATAATCTTTTTTCCTGCCAAGAAGCCTATATTATTGAGGCAAGCAATATCTTTAAACTATTTAGAGTTGAAAGAAGAGTTAGACAAGATGATTCTTTTTTGCCACTGCTATATGTATTAGCTTTTGAGCCTCTTATAAGTAGTGATTTTGGCTGATATGAAAAAGTCAGCTAAGCCAAAAATTTTCGGCTTAGTCGGTTGATTTTTTCAAAATCGGCTAATCGATTTTTATTTGCCCAAAAATAGAAAATATAATTAACGTGTGATTACGCACAAAAACAGGTTTTTTTTTTTTCATCAATGAATATTCTTGGGCACTTTAAACAGGTTTATTTAATTATTTTGTATTACAAATTGCCAAAAATATCTCTCCTTTCCTGGCATCATAATTTATAACAATTGTAAAGCATAACTTAAAATGTATGCTATTATTAAAATCATCGAGATCAGTTATCACAGGAAATTTTATTTAAAATGCATCATAATCATGCGGTGGGAATATTCAATGACTACATTTCTATTAATAGATTATTTTAACAATAATATGTAATTATTACTAAATCAGATGTAGTATGAGAATACTGCCATATAACAAAGGACAATTGACGAAAGGTTTATAATTTAAATGTATTCATTAATCATATTTGGATATATTGTTTATAATTAAATTTGCACTATACCCAAAATAAATAGTTAATTTAGAAAAAGCACGTACAAATATAAATAATAATGATACTTATCTGATGTAGTTGTGTATTTTGAGAGATTTTTGGTTGTTTCGTGTTATTTTGTCCACCTTGACACCCTGCACTGAAAATATCTCAACTTTCAACATATATATGCTATATCAAAAAACAATATAAAATTGTAATATTAGAACTTTTATTTAATAGCCCCAAAGCAGGTTGTTTAAATAAAATTTTTGAGGTATTGTCCTGACCTTGTTTGTAAATAGTATTGAGCCGATATGCATCTACGCATGTTACTCTGAAAAAAAAGTAATTTTCTCTATAAAAAAAAAATTCAAAAATAAGAAATACATATTAATATACGATTTTGAAAATTTCTTACTTACCGATTTCACAACATGCTACTATAAAGCTTCCCATTCAATTTATAATGTATAAAAGATTTCTGATTATATATGATAATTTTAATAAAATTAGGTTTATCTAAAACTTGATTTAGCCTTAACAGCCCAAAATCAATATCTTAAAAGAATCATCTCGTTGTCATCCATATGTATTTTAATTATAGAAAATACAAACAATATTAATATTGAGAAAAAAAAAATTAGAACAATTTATAAATGTAATAAGTATAGCCACGTAACTATTTGGAGACAGTTCATACAGTGTAAATTTACACCCTAAATGACTCATTCAAGCCAAGCAAATGACCTTATGCAAGGCATATGATTTACATAAAATAAATATTAATTTATATTAAATCAAATACATATAAAAAGAAAACAGTTACCTTTAATCAAATTCAATATTCGTTAATAATCAATCCACTTTACAAAATGTCCTTAAAAAATTTTTCTGATGAAGACTTGTATTTAGATAAACCACATATATCACTAGGTGAAGGATCAAATTTAATTTCAAATAAAGAATTATTCTCATTTGATGATGAAAGAAGATCTTTATCGCTAGATGAAGGGCTTTATTTGCCATTAGATAGTGAATCTTTTCTGACTAATGAACTTTCATCAGAAAATGAATATTCTTTAAATAATGCACCTTCTTTAAATGAAGAATCACCTAATATTTTACATATGTTTACTCAAAATAAAAGAAAAATTAGTAAATTACCCAATATTAATACTAAAAAAAGGTCTAAGCCAGGGAAAAGTTGGGTATGGAAACACATGAAAAAAGACAAACTTAACAAAAAAGTTATATGCCAAGTATGGGTTGGTGAT